AGTGCTGACCCACAGCTTAAATTGCTTTACATTTTTAAACCTTCCTAATTGGAGCCTGCCATAGCAGAGCATAGGAGATCCGCTGCTAAGAGATGAGAAGTGCCACAAAGAAAACATCAGATTTTTACTTTTGCAAATTTACCAACTGTAAATTTCTTGTTTCTTAGCAGATAAACACCATTTCAAAAGAGCTTATGTTTCATAAGCAGTAATTTTACTTTTTATTAATTTGTTGTTAAGGGATGAGCGTTTTTTATTTCTAGTAACAAAAGTATGTTTTTATCTTTTCTCTTTTTTCCCAAAATCTTTCTCTTTCTTACTGTTTATTCAATGTCACATGCTGTTTTTATTTTGTTTTTTAATTATGTGAAGCACCTTGAAATGCCTTGCTGCTGAAATGTGCTATACAAATAAAATTTGACTGATAGTAACTAACTGCCATGAAGTATAAATCAGATTTTTACATTTGTGTTTAATGTCTGTTTTATAATATATTTACAACCAGTAGCTACTGCCCACCTTAGCAGTAGTCTTTTCCTTAAAATGTGGTTTTTAGCTATTTATTTATTAGCCACGCTCAGCACAATGAATGGAGGAAGTCAATGTAAGACAACATGCTAGTGATATGCCACTGGCAGCATTTTGGCTAATTTTAGCTTATATACTAATTTTAACATGCTTGTGACTCTCCTCGTGTTGTTGAGTACATTATATCTTATTTAGCATTGATGCTAATTTTTAGCATCAGAACACTGGGTTCCAACCAACACTTTAATTTTAATAAACTTCTCTACTGCTGTTGTTACCGACTGATTCAGTGAGTTTTATTTGATACTTAAGTAAAACGGAGAGAGCTGTTCTTAACACTTAGAAACTCTTGAGTTGGCGATCTCATGCTGGGAGTTCCAACATTTATTTTTGTATGCGTCTGCTTTGGATTCACAGAAACTTCGCCATGATATCCTCTTGATGAAACCTTATTTCATTACCTGCAAGGAGGCGATGGAGGCTCGGCTGCTGCTGCAGGTCAGTAACTATTTGAGTTATCAACATCAAACTGACTTAGCAGCATCGGTAAAACAGAATGAAACATTTTCCCTCTTGTGGTGAAATTGTGCACTACCAGCATCTAGGGGTAGTGTTTAATATAGTCTCTCAAATGTTAAACATTTTAATTTCAACAATCCCCTTTGGATTTTTTTTTTTATTGTTTAATGGTTAGTATTTGCTTTGGTTATTTAGAAGCTCATAGATTTAAATCATATTAATTCTACTCTGTTATGTCCATGAACACTATCCTGTTAAAGATAAATCATTACAGAATAATAAATCACCACTTTTACCCTTAGAGCACCAAAACAGAAGTTGCTCTGTTCAGGAGAAGGCCTGAGAAACCTAGAAATAAAAACTTTAAACATGTCGGAACACACAAGTGACTATTTTAATTATCTGTTTCCTAATTTATAATTCACCCCTTTCCTTCAAAGTTGAGTGTTGCTGCGTTCAAGTTGCCTGCACAGGTTCTAGGCTGCACTGCTCTGGTTTTGCTTCATGTTTCCTTTGCGTTTTTGCTCCACAGCTGCAGGATCGCCAGCACTTTGTTGAAAACGACGACATGTACTCACTACAGGATTTGATCGACATCTCCACTGGGAGGCTGAGCTGCTCTCTCACTGAGATCCACACAACATTTGCCAAGCACATCAAGCTGGACTGCGAGGTGAGCCCAGTTCACTAAAAGTTATTAAGCTTCCCATTCGCACATTAGCTATGGGAACAGTAAAAAATATCATTCATTAATTGACTAAACTTGATACCACTCTTGTTCCACTCCTGTGTTGTGCTTGTGTGTGTGTCTCTAGCGTTGTCAGGCCAAAGGCTTTGTCTGTGAGCTTTGTAAGGAGGGAGACGTCTTGTTTCCGTTTGACAGTCACACCTCGGTGTGCCACGAGTGTTCTGCCGTCTTCCACAGGTGAGGAGCCACCAACCTTTTGAAATTGTAGACGTAAGGAAATCTCGAGCAGAGCAGGGCAGGTTAATCAGGCTGTGTTTGTCAGTCTGATTAACTTCCTTTATTTCCTCAGCATGTTAAACCACATCTCAAACTCAAGTCCCCAGGGCCAAAATCGTCCCTCTAGATTCTAGAAGGAAGCATAAAAAAATTAACATTCAAGATGACAGTTGTTCCTAAAGATGAGTTTATCAATAAATAGTTTTTTAGCTGTATACTGGCAAATTGCATCAGTATGAAAAGATGTTCAATAGTACTTAATTTCAAGAAGTACTTTTTGAATTCAGAGACAGCTTTTCATTAATACCCTAACTGTTTGTTAATGGGTGGTTTTATTAATATATTCTCCCACAACTGGACTTTTGAGGACATTTGTGATCTTGATGTGGCTCAAAATGAAAATGGGTTTGACGTATTACAGCCTAATCCTTTATTTAGGCTGTAATAAGTAGATTAACAAAACTTTATTGTAGATTCTTGTTTGACTGTACGTATTGGAATAGGAAGCCAATAAATCTGACCTGACCTGCCCCGAATTTTGAGTTGGATTTGGCTCAGGCCATAAATCTAAACTCTACCCACGTAGGAGGAAGATCATTTTTACACCGTTTATTCAGGATCTCTTTCTTTGAGTCATGGTACTGGGAATGAGCTCGAATTCATGCGGACAATACAGACACAGCTGTTGCTTTGACCACAGAGGGATCAGATGGCCACTAAAAGACCCGTCCTCCTGCAGAGTCCCACTAAATGCCTCATGGGAAACGGTCGTAAGCCTTAAGCCGATGCATAAAACGCATGTAGGCCGGAGAAGCAAACTCAACTGACCCTCTCACCACTTTTACGAGTTTAAAGAAATAAACAAATCAAGTATCTGTATTATTTGCAGTTGCTGAATCATTCTTCTAGTTAAGAAAGCAACTGTTTAACTTGTCTATGTTTTGCATATATTGTGTGTGTGTGTGTGTGTGTTTAGAGACTGCTACTATGACCACTCTACCACCTGTCCACGATGTGCTCGAATGACTGACCGCCAACAGGATGAGGTGGAAGAAGAGAAATGAGCTCGACTCCAGGAAGAAGCACAAGATGTTTTTTATAACATGTTGACTCTTAGTCAATCCTAGTCGGGCCAAACTAGCTTCCCGTCTCAGTCTATGTATGTTTGACTTGTTTTTTTTTTTTTTGTCTTTTTCTCTTCTGTGCACTACAATGTGAAACGGGGAACTAAAACATTTAGAACCTGGTGTACCGAGCGCTCTTGTATGTCTGAGGTGATCCGGTGTTCCTGTTGGAATATTTGTGAACATGGCTGCTGGTGTAAGTTTACATTTCGGTTCCCTTCAGAACAATTTCTTGACATCAGTCGAAGATGATGCCAGAAGAAACTATGTATTCCTCTTCTTGCAGCTAAAGTAGGGTCCTTTAATAAAATGTTTTGATGTATTAAGTTCTAATTCCCTGCTTTCAATTACAAGATGGAAAAATGTTAGCCATCATAAATATACTACTCATCTTGTTTTGTGATTTTACTTAATTTTTTTTCATATAAAACTAAAATCGTGAGCTCAATATCGATTATTGTGGCAAAGCTCAACAGAAAAATACAGATTTGGATTTTGTTCCAATTCTGCAGGTTCTTTCAGAATATCTTTTTTTTTCAAATCAAACCCTAATGATCTGTTTTAAATAGTTTTATGAAGTCTTTATATAAACACAACTACAGGGCAAACAGCAAGATTTATTTGAATCATTCAGTTTGCATTTATTCTCATATCTCTGTGACTTTCTATCAGTCAGTTAGTAGTGGAATAAACTTTAAATCCAATTTGATTAAAGTGATTATAACAATACTCTGAATCTGCACTAACAGGTTAACTGAAGCATGCCTCTGCAGCACAGTTTGGACTAAAGGAGTTAATAGTGCTTCTGTTATTTAAATCTGAACTCATTCGTACATTCAGGATGTAGCTAATGGCTTGGATGTTCAGCTGCTATCCAAACATCTTAATGTCATTGTGTTGATGGTTTCAGTCTTATGCTATTGAGAACAAGTTTTATGTAGGTATGATGAGTTTATTAGGTGGCAATTTTGTTAAAGTGACCATTTGAACAAAGTATTTGTTTTAAAATATCAATGTTTTGGCTGTGTTATTTTTTCAGCAGCATGAAGAACTGTAAATATATATATATATATAAATATAGTTTTCTGTTTTTTTTTGGTGTTATTTTTGACCTCAATGACCATACATGCTGTTGGTGAAAGCAATGCCTTGTTGTAAAACAACTGATCAGTGCATGAAATAAATAAACTTCCTGACTAATGTTTTGAAATGTTTCTTCAATATTTCAACATAATCTTGTCAGAAAGAAAAATGCCATCTACTTTGTGAAGTGCACCAGTAAAAATACCCATTATATGATGCTGGAAAAGGCACATTCATTCAAATATGGTAAAAAGATGAGAAGTTTTTTCGGGTTGCACATCATCAAAAGTGCACTGTAACCACATGGTTGTAGCAGCGTTCTTTAATGTTTCACGTTTCTAAAGATTTTGTCAATACAGCTGAAACATGGAACAGTTTCAAATATCCACCAATTTTGACTTCAAACCTTCAAAAGTCTCAGAATGCTGAGGATGAAAAGCGATTTTGTTTTTCAGCACATTCAAGCATACATCCAAATCACCCGAAGACTGATTTTGTGTCAGGAAAATTGAAGTTTTTGTATTGGCTTAGTCAGATTACATAACTAAATGTTGTGAGGTCACCCGGAGAGGGCCTCGGATGAAAGACGTCCCCTTGGAGACGCTTTGCACGGTGGAGTGGATGAGAATCAACTAAAGAGCCAGAGTGCTGATGGACAGCTGTTGCTGAAATTACAGATTTGTTTATTTTTCAAATGAACTGACCCCAGCACTATTTTGAACCAAAGCCATAAAGCAGAAAAGTAGACGCCAGATAAATAATTGTAATAAACTGAAATATGTTCGAGACATGTTTATTTACATTCCACTTTAAGTGCGTCTACAATTAACTTTCATCTCGCGAGATCTTTGGTTTGAACTTGTTCTTCGCCGGTCTCCAATGAGTGCAGAGCGCAGCTTCTTCCCGGCTCATCCGACGTGCGTCTGTGGGCAGATGGGAGCAGATGTGAGGGGGACTGCGGCTCCTCGCTATTCTGTCTGACGGGGATCTGCGTCGTCAGCATGTGGTCTTTTCGGAACCGAGCGCGGGCTGTTCGGACGTGGAGACAAAACTTTTTCGCAGTTTCAGCTACTTTGCGCTGCAAAGGGGCTTCGGTAAGAAGAAATGTTTGTGTTAAGTAAAATGTATGCATGTATAACAATGTGTAACTTTGCAAAAATATATATATTTTTTTCTATATAGAAAAATGCATTTTCTGTAAGATGCGTGAGTTCCTACATTGAGCCATGAACATGTCTGTCGTGAGAAAAACCTTTGCGTCTCTGCTGACAGCTGCCCTTCAAAGCCTCAAACAAACAAACAGTAGCGCTGCTTCTGCATCATTCCTCGGCTGTTTGTATTCTCCTGGGGCCAAGAGGCCCCGTTCTTTTGATTATGTAGTTTATGAGACAGTTTCCTCAGTTCCATGATGTTCTTTCTGCAGTTCTTGGTTCAACATGATGGATGAGAAGGAAGTCTCTTTTTAGCAGTTCAGTGGGAAAAAGTTTTTCCTTTGTGCTTTTTGCACAAATTATGGACATAGGAGTCAATATTTTATGTTACATTTACTAAAACAATATTATTGTCTTTGAGATACTAGCAAGGCCATTGCTACCTCATAAAATGAGGTGAAATGTCACAGAGTTTAGTGCAACAAGGACTTAACTAATAAGATTTCAGTAATCCTAATAATAAGTTTGGAAGAAAACACGTCGCGGATTTTTCCTAGCAACCCCTCGCTTGCCATGAATGATGGGGCTTTTAGTGACCCTTTTCTACTATTACCTTGGTGATGTTCATTTCCTGTCAAATATTTTTAACTGCGTTGCTCATTCAGGGAAGACAAGTGCATCAACACAGTTTGGCACGGCTGCTAGGCTCAAACAGGCCGCTGAAAGGTACGTGAAGCACTCAGCGAGCCATCTCACTCTGTCACACAGTACAATGAATCCAACTGACCAGGCCCAATGACCCAAATATTTTTGGCCAGTGCCAGCCATCTGATTATTTCCTAATTTTCTTTGTTCTTTCAGGTTTTGAAAAATTGTTCCCGAAGAGGAAAGAAGGAACTGGCAGCCGAACATCAGCAGAAAGTAAAAGAAGCGGGGGAAAAAACAGTCCTAAGAGAGAGGCATTTCTTGAATTCTTATGTGGTTTGCTTTTCTGCAATTTATATCTGGCTTTTGTTATTTAGATAAAAGAAATAGAGAGCAAGACTCACTTCGAACCAAAAGATGCGAAGGGAATGATGGCAGGGGTGAAAGAGGAGGAGGAGGAGAAAATGAGAGATCTCAGTGGTGGAAACGATTCAAGGTGAAGATCTTAGCGTCTCCTTTAGATATGTTGTCAAAATGTTCTGCACATTCTTTAAACATGTGAGACTCATTTATCTTGTTTTGTAAAGTTGTATGTGACAGTATAACACTTTAATAGAAAAGAAAGATTGGATAAGAAAAGCACAAGAATGTCTCTTTTTATTTTCAAATGAGAAAATAATAATTAAAAAAGGTGCCAAGGTGACGATGTTTTCTAATTATGCAGTTTATTTGCTATAAAGCAATATTTAAAACGAGACTCAATTGACTGTATTTGTTAAAGAACTTTACTGGCCTATAGCTAATAAATTAACTTTTTTTTATCCAATAAATTGTTAATGAAAGATTGTTCTAATTTACTAAGTAGGGACAGGCTTTGTTGTCTTCTATCACAATGTGAAAAAAATAGGAAGTTTGTGTCCAAAAGTTGAGCATTTTATGGATAAACAAAACAATAAAAGGTTTATAATTTTTTTTAATCGCTTTATTCCATAGATCAGAGACTCAACGCATTTTATGTTGTGTTCAGAACCACTGGGCCTGTAAGGCTTCACACTGGGTCCAACATGGTTTCAATTAGAAATATTCCAAAGTTGTTGAAATTCACATTGTTTTCTTGTAATAGTGACACGTTTTGTTCAGCTAAAGATTGGGATCTGTTTGTGGATGCAAGTAAAAACGGAGTTTAAACATTTAAAATGAAAAGGTGATTTACTGCTCTTATGGATATGGAGGGATTTTTAATATTTAATACTCAAAGTGTTTGGGGTGGGATATGGTGGCGCAGGGGTTAAGCACAACCCTATTATAGAGGCCATAGGCCTCCACGCAGCTGTCGCAGGTTCAATTCCCGGCCTTGGCAACCTTTGCTGCAGGTCTTCCCCCTTCTCTCATTACCCACTTTCCTGTCAATTAACTATCAAAGGCCACTAGAGCCAAACAAATCTAAAAAAAATACTCAAAGTGTAGGTATATAAAAAAAATTGCTACACTGTAAAAGAAAGAAAGTCTCTAATTTATGGTAAAATACCAGCAGCTGTTGTTGCCAGAATTTAGAGACATTTTTTTTATATTGTATAGGAAATGTAGAAGTCAGAATTAATATATTTATACATATTTCACACAATTATACAGTATAATTACGTTATTCAGAAATGACAAAACCCTTAGGCTGTAGTAACATGATATTGTTGATGTCATGCTTCAGGCTAGGTAGGTGAAATAATGGTTGAGCTTTAAGGTTTTAACCTTTTTCGCCTCCTGTGTGGTGGAAGGTTTCAGCTTTAATTTGGGCTTCATTTGGTTTAATATTTAAAACGTAACAGTGGTCAGAAGCTGATTCATCTGTTCTCATTTCAACATTTCCTCTTCCTCCAGAAAGATTTTCCCTTAGATGAAAGGACTGTGCAGAACTTTGCTTTCGCCGCTGCGGGCATGACCGCAGCCTTCTTGTACTTCCACTTCAGGGAAACTGGAGTCCAGATCTCCTGGAAGGATTTCGTTCTGTATCTGAGCAAAGGCTTGGTAGGTTTAGTTGAGTGCCGCTCCTGGAGTCTTTCTCAGCTAATCTCCTTTCATCGATGGTGCAAACAGGTCGTTTTCTTCACACAGGTTGGTCATGTAGCGGTGGTCAATAAACAGTATGTCAAAGTGTTTCCCGCCGATGGAGTGAACTCATCAGAAGTGGTTAGTAAGATAATAATTCTGCGCCGTGTCCCGATTCTCTTCAGAAAGGGGCCGCTTCTTACGTCGTTTTTCTGGTTTTGTGTTTCAGGATTATTTGTGGTTTAACATTGGCAGTGTGGCCTCATTTGAACACAAGTTGGAGATGGTTCAGGAAGAAATGGGTCTGGACTCCACACAGAAAGTACCCGTCCTCTACACCAGTGAAAGCGACGGGTGAGAGTCTTTCCTCAAGCTGAAGCAACATGTAAATTAGATTTTCTTCTCCAGCTTCTGTCCTAACGTCATCTTCCTTTTCATTTATCCTCAGGACGATGGTTTTAAGTGTTCTCCCTACGCTCCTCCTGGCTGGCTTCTTGCTATTTGCGACGCGACAGGGGCCCATGGCCGGAGCCCACGGCGGCAGTTTGAAAGGAAATCCATTCAGCATGAAAGCGTCTAAAGCAAAGATAATTAAAGACTTTGGAAATGTTTGCTTTAGGGATGTGGCAGGCTGTGAAGAGGCCAAACTAGAGATCTTGGAGTTTGTGAATTTTCTGAAAAACCCAAATCACTACTGGGATTTGGGAGCCAAGATCCCAAAGGTAAATCTGTGTGTGTTTGATTGCACCTCAGATTTCTTCTGTCACAATTAGTTTGACGTGCTACTCACATGCGATGTGTCTCGTCTTTCCAGGGTGCGCTGCTATCTGGGTCCCCTGGAACCGGGAAGACGTTGCTGGCGAAGGCCACGGCAGGGGAGGCCGACGTTCCCTTCATCACAGTCAATGGCTCCGAGTTTCAGGAAGTTTTTGCTGGGGTGGGCCCTGCAAGGGTCAGTCCTCCATTCTCACAAACTGCTTAAAAAATTATCTGTCCGTGTTGCAAATCGCTTACGATCTGGTCTTTCGTCAGATAAGAGACCTGTTTGCCACGGCTCGCAAGATGGCGCCCTGCATCGTTTTTATCGATGAGATCGACGCGGTCGGCAGGAAAAGAGGCAGCGGGAGCTTTGGCTGGCAGAGCGAGCAGGAAAACACTCTGAACCAGTTGCTTGTGGAGATGGATGGTGAACGTTTAAGCACATTCATTTTTCCCAGTTCCTTACGCTACATTTTTAAAAACCCCAGGCCTCTGTTTGTATGACTGCAGGATTCAACAGCAGCACCAACATTGTCGTGCTAGCAGGCACCAATCGAGCTGATGTCCTGGATCCGGCTCTGATGAGACCCGGCCGCTTTGATCGTCACATACATTTGGGTGAAGAACAGCACAGACTCTTCTCTGAACTCTTGGGAATCTCATTCCCCTTTCATTTATTCCCTGTCTTGTTGTATAACTTCCTGCTCTTATGTAACAATTTAATTTTAATCGTACTTTATGCAGCATTTTCCTGTTTACTTGATGCTTTTTCGTGCCGTGCCACTTGAGCGTCGTCATCTTTGTTGCTGTAATTCGACCACAGTCACAAGAACCCCCGGGCATAACGTTGTTAGTTTTTTTTTTTTTTTTCTAATGGAGATGAGATGCCAAGCTTAGTCTTTGAAGTTTATTAAGTTTGCACATATTTTCTCATCTCTGCTCTCCTCTAATGTCATTTAAGCCATTCAGTGTTTGTCTGGCTGCTTTTATGTTTTGGTGGAGACAGTTGATCGTTTTTGTTCCAGCTAAAATTCAATTTGCTCGTTACAAGCTGTGCAGAGTGAGTCAGACATCTGGTCTACTGCTGACCAAAAAATGATGATAATAGTTGGAAACTGATTCTTTTATAAAAGAATGGTAAGATAACTGGAGACCAACCTTTGGGTTGGGTCTAATGTTAACAGTCAACATTTTGAGTAGCTTGTTTATTACTAATTTGAAGTTGCAGTTAGTTATATATCTTAACTTCTGCAGAACTCTGCAGGCAGTAGATCATGTTAACCTGCAAGATTAATACCTGTTTCGAGATTTCTTTCACCTGTTTCTATTCAGTGGCCTTCTTTGCAGCATTTTTATTTTCTTTAATAAATTAATGCTTTACAAAGAATGTGTTTTATCAGCTTGCAAAGAAAAAAAAAATCCCTTATGTGACTTAGTGTTGCTTTGTCAAAAAAAAAAAAAAAATCCCCAAAAGTTTTTAGTTTTAACCTCACAAATTTTTTAAATTCAAGGAGCAGACATTGTTATTCGCAATACTTTACATATAAAGTTTCCCCTTAAGGTCTTTTTTATTTTTTAATTTATAGCTTGTAAGTTATTTAGGCAGTTGAATATAATTTCAATGTAAACTCACCTTTTTACACCTTTGTATCACTACTGTTTGAGTTTATTTCGGACGATAGTTTCCTCCTCCAGCAAATTAACTTGATATTCCAGTAGAAATGTACTATAAAATTCATGCCGGGCTTGTTTTCTCTTTACTGCAGGCCTGCCTGATATAAAAGGCAGAGCATCCATCTTTAAAGTGCACCTGAGACCTCTGAAGTTGGAGCCTTGTTTAAACCTAGAAGCTTTGTCCAGGAAGTTAGCTGCACAGACTCCGGGTTTCACGGGTAAGAATGGAAAGTGTGGCTCATGCATCTGTTGCTGATGCTAATTTTATAGCTTAAATTGCCAAAAAAAAGATGGACATTTTGCTGCAAAGGCTGGAATAAAACTATTTAGTCCCAGCTTGCAAGCTTTTCTTTCAGGTGTTACACTTCAGTTTCACTAGATGCATTGTGGCCGTTTCTCATAGGGGCTGAAATTGCGAATGTTTGTAATGAAGCTGCGCTGAGAGCTGCACGTCACGTCAGCCAGTGCATCAGTGCTGAGCACTTTAAGCAGGCTGTGGAGAGGGTCATTGGAGGTAAGTCAACCAAAAACTAACATGAATCATTTTATTAAGCAACAATGTTCATTTTTTGTTGTTGTCGAAGTTAAACTCTTTTGTAAAAAAAAAAAAATGCATTTGATATCTAAATGAAAGCATCTCTTAATAAAGTATTGATTATTTAATGTCGTCACTTTTTCACAACTGGATTATTTGCTTTCATAGTGAATGTTTCTGTGCGGATTCACCCTCCAGATGTTAACAGCGTCACGTTTTCGTACGTCACGTATTCACGTCGTTTTTTTGACGTGAATACATAAATGTAGGCTGTAGCTCTATTTTTAAACAATGTAATGAAATTAGGCATTTCATGCAACAATTTGGGAATATTTTTCGCTGAGTGCTGATTCTTCAAGGCGTCTTCTTCCATCTGAGGTCTGGATAAAAACACTCAGCCGTTACAGCTTCTAGAAAAGACAACCGTGGCGTATCACAGGGCTGGTCACGCCGTAGCAGGATGGTTCCTGGAGCATGCAGAACCGCTGCTTAAGGTATTCCCTTGGACCCGGTCTGGATAATCCAATAAGCTCCCGGTAATTACATTTATCTATCTGATTTGGAAGATTTTTGCTTGACGTTGCCGACAGGTTTCCATTGCTCCTCGAGGGAGAGGTTTGGGTTATGCACAGCATTTGTCTAAGGAGCTGCACCTGCTGAACCAGGATCAGCTGTTCGACAGGATGTGTGTGATGTTAGGAGGTCGCGTGGCCGAGCAGGTTTTTTTTCGACGAGTCAGCACCGGGTCCCGGGACGACCTCAGGAAAGTCACACAGACGGCGTACGAGCAGGTAGACAACTCAACTGACAATCAGGACCGCCGCCGAGATTTAAACTAGGATTTTTAAGTCAAACCTTCACTCTGTAAGTGAACATTTCTGTTTGCTTCTTCAGGTTGTTCAGTTTGGAATGAACAAGGCTGTGGGTCACGTTTCTTTCGACCTCCACCTTCAGCAAAACGCCGTCACAGAGAAGCCCTACAGCGAGTCAGCGGCGCAGCTCATAGATCAGGAGGTCCGCTCGCTTGTAGACGTCGCCTTCCAGCGAACGCTCCAGCTTGTTGTCGACAAGAAGGAGATGGTGGAAAAGGTGCGATGCGTTGACCTGCTGTGCGCTACGCAGGCTTTCAAATTTTAAAGAACGCACTTCTTTTGTTTTTTTTTGTTTTTTTTTTTACAGGTGGCGAAGCATCTGCTAGAAAAAGAGATTCTGGACAGAACGGACATGCTGGAGCTTCTGGGACCTCGACCTTTTCAAGAGAACGGCTCGTATGAGGAGCTGTGTGAAGCGTTGGAATTTGAAGAGGAAAAACTCCACAGCCTGAAGGACTAAAGTGTGGAGAGGATGATAAACAGAACGAGTCAACTTTTCACACGCTTCATTAGCAAATTTACCGCACCTTTCAGAAATATTAATATCCCCTGAACTTAACGTTTTGTCACATTACAACCACATCCATCCATCCATGTTTGGTGGGGATTTATGTTGTACGCCAGTACAAAGCAAGGGAGTTCTCTTTTTTCTTTTTTACAAATCTCCTAAAAGGGCTGATGTTTTCACCGAGACTCAGAATTTTCTAGAACCAAATGTACATGAAATATTTGCCATGTTTGAAAAATATCTCAGTTTCTATGGAAGAGTGGATGTGTAATACTCAGATCTTCTGATAGACTGCTAAATTGAATATGATCTGCCTTTGATTAGCTCATGACTCTGCTTTGATCTAAACCATTTGATCTGAATCATTCCATTCAGCCTCCAGCAGGTTTTCTTCCATGGTTACCCTGGATTTAGCCTCATCCATCCCCCATCAACTCTAACCAGCTGCTTCTGCTGAGAATTACACCTGCACTTTCTCTCATTAGTTTTCAACAATGTCCTCTGCATGAAGCTGCACCCTGAACGTCACTGAGTTTCTTTTCACAGAAAACTCTTGGACAGGTTGCAGTGTAATACTCTTTTTATTTTCAGATACTGGGTTTCTGTGACATGTTTGTAGCTTAACACACTGTTTGATATTCTAACAGCGCTTTAGCCTTCTCCACTACTTTCCCCCAGTTCTGTCTGCTCTATTTCTTGGTCTTCCTGATGCTGTTTTTTTCCATTAATGCTAGTGATCTCTGAAGCCTCCATGAAATAGCTGCAGTTTTATAGATATTAAATAATCTCTTATTTTCAATGGATTATTTAGCGTTATCAGTGAACACAAATGCATGTCACACGTTTTAGAAACTATAAATTTTTTTTTTCCCCCACTCAATAATTTAAATTCACTACTTTGTGCTGGTACAACATGTAATATTCCAATAAAGATGAATTTGTGGCTGTAGCCTGACAAATTCAGCGCGTGTGCAGACTCTCTGTGCACCGTAATGCCCATTAACCCAGTTTTCACTCATTGTAAAATTTACTGTATGGACAAATGAAAGAAGTCATTACTGTAACTTGATCATCTCTTTCATGAAATATAGACAAATTCATATCCTTTACCCCATTTTTTTTTATCAGGAAGTACATTGGAAATTAGGATTTTAGATTTGTTTTGTTTCATGATGTTAAAAAATGTCGTCGATGCTTTCCATAACTTTAAAGTCAGACAGACGTTTTAGACGCAAATACTTCTTTAACCATCTGTGTGAGCAAGACAAGTTCTTTTAATTCATGGAGACAAAATCACCTTATGACTTTATATTGTTTGTAAATGACATTAGCTCAATGTTAATATTTTCTGTTCCTGTGCAGAACAAATAGGTTTATAAAATTTGCTCAAAATTTGCTGAATACAACACTTTTTCTAATGTTTTTTTATTATTAGAAATGAGAATGTATGACATCCATAATTGTTATTTGCAGAAACTGAGGCCAGCATATATTCTGTCTCAGTAGTTTTAAAACATTATTGTCATAGAAATTGATTTACATTTTTTTTAATTTATCCTGTGGGTAAACCTGTTGCAGACACCAGAATAACTTTAAATTGGCTTCTCTTTGCATTGATACTGATTTTATAAATTTGAATTTACATTTATAAAATCTCCAACAAAAAAGAAAGGTGTTTGCTGGACATGAAAATGACGATACAAAACGTAAAAGGAGCCACAATTTTATTGAATCCTCAACCGTCCTCTAGCATCACATTTGATCCACTGTGCCACAGCATTCACAGTCATTGACACTCCTCCTGCAGGCAGCCTGAACATGTCACAAACCAAGCAATCTGTTATCCACTCACTGACAGTAAAGAAATATCTTGAGTTAATTTTACTATTAAAACAAATGTTGGCACTTTGTTGCGTTTTTTTTATATTTTTGGCATCCACACAAATCATGATCTTTGCTTTAAATTTATTTTCATTTCAAGTTCTGCTCATCTGCATCCTGGCAGCATCGACTGTGGCAGCCACACATTTTTCTAAGGGTTGGAGGTTGGAGAGAGGGGATTTATAGCAAAGAAATAAAAAGAAATGTGAGTATGGAACAAATTATTGCAAGCTGCTGCTAGTCGGTGTATTTACTTGACTTTACTTGTCTACACCACCTACTATCCTGCAGGGGGCGCTGGCTATACAATTTAGAGAAAGAAGTGCAACTTTTTTATTCAGGCTTTTCGCATTCCAACACACATTTATTTTAATAATGAAGATATTATCCCACATCTTAAGGCTACTTTTGCTAACGTCATAGGCAGCAGGAACCCCTGACGCATTAATAAGAAACACAGTAAGTCTCAATAAGCGCCCGGATTTTTTAATTTATGTTTCATCTAACCTCTCGAGATCTGCCATCACTGTGGCTTTAACTTTTGCTGCCAATCTCATAATGTTGGCCCACCCTGAGGTGCTGTAAGGACAAAGGTGCTGATACTCTGTTGACCTCATACCCTGTCTATCTAAAAAAAAGAAGAAGAAAAAAAACAATATTTAAATCATCTGGCAGCTCAGAGTGCAATAAGAACCCTCCGCTATAAAAAAAAGACACGACGACTGCACAGGTTTGCTTGAGTTAGTGTGAGAAGAGAGCGGGAACAGTGAGATTATTGCACGTCGTCATTATCTTTAGAGCAGAGAGAGCCGAGTTTCCAGAGTTGAGCCTGAACGCGCCAGCACTGCGGGGCATCACGTGCGTGCACAGTGGCAGATGGAGGCGTCTCGGTGGCTTGGTTTCACCACTGTGTCTGTCCAACAGGCTCGTTTCGGGTTGAGCTTTATGGATGCTTCGCTCTCTCCAGCTTCATTAAGGGGTCTGCTGTGTCTGAGTCACTGTGATGCTTCCTCTCACGAGGCAGCTCCACTTTACTGCAGCGCGTCCACGAGGGAGAGCGCATGTAGCCGCTCCTGGGCACCACGGGCTGGTGGGAACCTGAGGACCAGAAACACATCACTGGAGCTAAAACAGACCAAACAGACGGAGGGTTTTAGAAATGGACGCACATAAATCAGGCTGTTCAGAAACAGTTTAAGGCAATGAAAATAAGAGTGTCAGTGTTTATAATGTTGCACCCTGCAAAAGTACGCTTGCAGTTATCTCAAGAGCTCATTTATTTCAGTATTTAGCATAAAACAGAATTGGAGCAATATACTATGAAAACTCCTCTAACATAGAAAAAGACCTGAAGGAAATGATCAGTGTTTTGTCGCTTTGCAACCAGGACATTAAATCGCATTTTTTAAAGAATTTTATTGGCCAGCAAAGTAGCACGTCATTGTGAAGTGGAAGGAAAATTATTGTTTTAAATTCAGTCAAACCATTTACCTAATTACCTCATTAAAAAAAACAGAACAAACAAACAAACAAAAACAGAATTCACCGGTGTGTAATTCAATCTGAACACCAGCTGTCCTGTGGAGATCTTAAGTTTGTTAGAGACCTATCAGGATCAGTCCTTCTAAACTACAGGGTTGGATGGACAACATTATTAATAGAGAAAGCCAGGATGTCCATGGTAACTCTGGAGGATCAGCAGAGATCCATGGCTCAGGTGGAAGAACTATAGATGGTTGTGCATTTCAAAAATCTGGCCTTTATACAAGAGCTTAAACTAGAAAACCCATGTTAAATCAAAAGCCAAAAACTTATTTTTTCTGACTTGCATGCAAAATGTGGTGCAGATGAAAAAAAACAAACAAACAAACAAAAAAAAAAAAAACACATCACTGTAAACACATTAGCTTCACCAGCTAAATACAGGACAGTTCTGGAAGAAAAGACTTGAGACATGAGAGAGGAGGGTCACCTCCCAACAGGAAAACAAACACAAACAAATAGCCAGAGCTGTAATACGATTATTTATGTGAAAAAATATATTTCCACTGGATTGGCCAAGTCAAAACCTATTACTAAATTAAGTCAATGTGTAACAGCTTTGAAATTACAAGTTCCCCAATGTCATTCAATCTGAGCTCAAGCTATTTTGCAAACTAGAATGTGCTCTAAATGTGAAAAGTTGGTAAATATAAACCCCCAAACTCACTGTATACATCTAAAAAGCCAGATTTCCATTTGTTTATACAAAAACAAAATGGTGAAAAAATAAATAAAAATAAAAATCCAGGATTCTTTTAATTAGTTTCCTTCCACTTCACAGTTTAAACTTTACTCTGTCTAAGTCTAGGGCACACCATTCCAATTAAACGCGTTAATTTTTGTGTTGGAAATGTGACAGAAATTCATTGAAGAAACCTAACCATCACATAGAATGGACAAATTAATCTTTCAAAACAGAGTAAAGATATTATTAGCATTCTCTCATCAGACATGGGACACACTTTAAGCCGTTGGTGTCGTTGCCACTTCATGCCACTTGGTGGTGCTGTTGAACCTTCGTCAGTAACATAAGATCAGCCTTAAATGAGCGAAGTGGAGCTCCTGTGCTCTGCACACATCAGCCTAATGTTGGCTCCCGTCTCTTCGAGTTCTCCGCGCAGATATCTCCCCAAAGACACATCGCGTCCTGACGTATATTAAAGACCGAGAGGCGACAAAAGAAAGAGAGGCGTTGGAATAAGACAAATATTGATCTCAGATGATTGATTGCCTCTCTGCTGGATTTTAATGAGATGTCAACCTCGTGTGAAGCGTCAAGGACTCCGCAGTAACATGTGCTATGAGAGAAACCTCCCTGGTGCATTTACGCCACGAAATAAATGTCTGCAACGTGTGCAAGCTGAATCCTGCCTGTGTAATGCACGCATGGTTGTTTTGTGTGCTCTGTTTGAATCTCTCCTGACAATTGGATTGCAGGAAAACATGAGAAGACAAAATGGAAAAAAAAAAAAATTATGAACTACTGCTGAGATGTTGTTTCTTTTTCATCCCTTGTTCTTTTGCTTTTGCAGGCGCCAACTTTGTCTAAGCTCCCAGACAGTGCTATAAATATAGATTCCTCTGCTTCAGTCAGTGAGTTTCTGATTCACTTAAGTGTTACTGAATCACAAGATGTCTGCAGTTTCCTCTAATTTGTAAGGTATATCTTATAAAACTACATAAAATTCGGTAGTTCTAGGACGACAGCTCAAGATGTCTTGTTCATTTGAAGACCTTATAATAAACCCTTCATCCCTATAAACCGTCAAAGTAATTATGTCTAAAAATCCATATCAACGCTTCCCAAATTCTGCAAAAAACAATTTGTTTTCTTGTTTTTCTTGCACAGCTTAACCAGAGTTTGTGAACTAGGGCAAGCAGTTGCTGATAATGATCTGAAAGTAATTAAAGGCCTAGATAAGTGCTAAAGGCAAGCCAGTTTGAGCCGGAACCTGACCTTTTTACATTCAATGGTGCTTTTATAGACAGACTCATGCTTCCCAAAGGAGGAACGGAGCAGGATGGCTGAAGAGAGAAAGCAGCTGTTAAATGTACACTTTGTGGGATCAGACGTAACCTTTCTGTTTGCATTTTAAGTAACTGCGTAAAGACGAGTGTGGCGTCGATGACGGGTCAGGTGATCCAAAATGCAGCAGCAGGAGTTCTAATCAAAACTAAAAGAAGAGCTCGTGTTTTGTTTTTTTTTTCCAATTTTGGCTTCTCTTCATTGGTTCCCGACCAAAATTGTTGTATTGTGAGATCAGATGATTGTTTCATATTTTTCCCAAAGAGGTAGTTCCTAAGTTTTAAAGAGTAAAATGAGAGGCAGATGTTTTGGTCATTATGTTCCTCCTTGTGTTTATTATCTCACAGATGATGCTACCAGCTCAGAGCTCATCTGCTTCCTTTTATTACTCTCCAATAAGAAGCCCTTACCTCTGCGCACTCTCTGCTTCTCTTCAGTAAAATCCTGGACCAACGCTTTTGTGTTTAATTTCTTGTTTTTCTGTGTGTGTCTAAATTTTATGTTGCGTCATCGAGCAATCCTCATCATTCTTTTGTTCAGATTCTCTAGATTAAAAAGCCTTTAATTGCTCTTTGTTCTGAGCTTTCTTGACCGAACGTGCTGTGCTACACGTCCAAACGTACAAAATCTAAATAGGGATTCAGACTGTTGCTTGCCTAAAGGAAGGTGAATATAAAATCAGCCGGCACAAGATTTGAGACCAGGAAGACAAAGTGCAAAAAGGAATTCCTTGCATTCTGGTTGTGCTTAAATGGCTTGAGAAGAAACAGGCTTTGTTTCCAGAAGGGGAAAATCAATTATTTAACAGCCTGCATTTAGCTTGAACTCACTCACCCATCTTCAGCTTCTCTCCCCGCTTTAACCGTTGTCTCAACCCTGATATGTCCTCACTATTTTTCCATTGAGCGATTTTCTCTCGCAGCCCAAGCTTAACGCTCTCTGATCCGAGTTACAGTGGAAACCTCACAATTCACAAAACGTAGAAGCCAATGTAAAACTGATATTTCATTCACTCGTGTATTTCAGCTGTCAGACAGAATTAATCTTGCATATCGCTGCGTCTTGCTTTTAAATCTCCGTAGCTCTGTGAACGCATCGCATGTTTTGCGAATAGCTGCCTGAAAATCTGATCCGGTTTAGTTTCACAAATTATTTCTGTTTTAAGAGATACAAAACCTTTTTCTCACTGTTTGATTTTAAATCACACCAAACATTTCATATTTTAGGCCTGTTAGCATCAGCAAAATTATTTCTGTCGTCTAAATGCCAAAAATAAAGAAAAAAGGTGTTTTTAGACAACTTTTAATACTTTCTTCAAGGTCAGAGGATTATAAAATGTAAGATTACATTTTCACCAAAACCTGTAAAAACTCTGATGATACTAAACTTCAAGTTATTTCACAAATCTTGAGTCAACTGTAGGCAACCCTGAGGATGTAATGCCTCAAACATTACGTACTTCCTTTTATGATAACTTTGGAAAATCAAATTAAATCAGCCATTTTTCAGAAATGGCATTGTAGACTTCCAAAAGCTTGGATCATCGTTAGATACAATTTCCACTTGACTAAAAGTGTCACATTCAACTGTTAAAAAAAACAACAAAAAAAAGTAGAAATGTTTCTCTAGCTTAGAGTCCACACATTCAGAATCTCAAAATGCCCCTGGCGAAACTTGTTCCTTGTTTTTCATCAGTCACAAATACTAAAAGAAGTGTATGTAAACTTCTGATCTTGCAGTCTTCTGGCATTTGGCAAACAGAAACTCTTTTACTAATCAGAATTTATTAGAACAGAAAACATTTTGTCCAAGTTAAAGTTCAGCAGGAAGAACGAAAAAGGTGGTGTGTATTTCAGCAGTAAATATCTGGTTTCAGCTCAATATACCATCGCTTTGCGTTGCTTTTTTATGTTTGGCATTCAGATAGTTTTTATAATCTTAATAGTGAATCACATGAGTGGAAAACAACATCTGGTTTTGCATTTAAAAAAACACCCTGATGGAATTGCTAATCTAAAAACAAATCATCTGTTAAAGCCGTGCAGATTTTGATGTGATATTTATTTGTGA